ACGACACACACACACACACACACACACACATCACTACATCACACTACACACACACACCACACAGCACACCACATCTTGTTGATGATGGATTTCTCTACTTTCCTTGGATGCTGTTTTACACAGCATATACCCAGAGATCAGATAGTGTTAATAATTGCCTATGATGTTGGTCAGATTTTTAATTTTTCTAACTGATTTACTACAGTTTATCGGTAAATGTGAATTGGATCAGTTTTGGACCTTACTGGAACATTTTATCTACTTGGTAGATTTCAATTATAGCAACTTCATATAATAATGTCAAGTTCTTCTTCTTTGTTTTGTTTAATTGAGTAGTTGCTTTCAAGTTTGTGGCTGGATTTTTGGATCATCAGTGTCAAAATAAGTAGTAACCTTTTATTTTCTATCATCTGCATATACACTATATTATTTTTTTAAATTGCTTGAGACTGAGGGTTTTTTTTCTTGTGGACTGGGAGCTCACGTTATAACTGTGTATTGGTTTCTTTTTGACATCTTAAATTTGTAAACCTAACAATAGTTATTAATTGCGTGGTTTCTGACACGTAGTACGATGTTTGGTAAGTTTCATTTTCAGGTGTCTTTTCACCTTGTATAGTTGATCCATAGTGTCAAGGAGTAACTCTTTAGCGATTCCCCTTGGTTTTTTTTCATGTGGCGTGTGGTCGAGTATCTGACGTGCTGCAGTTCTGATATTATCGATGGCATACCAGTGGTTACAACTTTTAATCATCATCTGTGTGTCAATTATCTTGCTCGTATGACAGTAGTATCATTGGACTGTTACGGAGTTGACGCTGCTATTAGTCCATATTAGTAACTAGGTTGTGGTTTTTTTGTTAATCTTGTGGTGAAGAGGGCATGCCAGCAGCATTGTAGACGGGGGTCGCCATGAGATTCTGAAGTCTATTTGTAAAACGTATTTTGTTTTCCATTATGTGCAAACTAAGTTCTTCATCTCTCGGTTTGTGTTGTTTTTTTTCTGGAAGCCCGTTTTGTTGGCTATTTTTTTAGAATTCTTGGCTTTATTGTACATCTTTCATGTATCCACATCTGTATCCGATTCTGGACTTATTGACACATGGAACTTAACTTACATCATAATATAGTTCTCTCAAGGTTTTTTAAGATGTTATTTGATTTCTTTACTGAAGCTAGGTGGATTTTATGGATATTCTTTTTATAGACATTTCTTGGGGTTCTTTTTCCTAACAATATGAAAATATTTTGTTTGGTTTATAATGTTGTTGTTGGTGTGCAGATGACGCGTTGGAAGACTGCCGGTAGCGATTCCAGATTAAAGGTCACTTTACTTTGTCTCCTGTTTTGTGGACTCATGCATACAGTTAAATGATTTGGCGTGTTGGTTTTTTATTAGGCTTGAAGTTCCTACGCGGCACCTGTGACTTCGATCTGTAAGACTAAGGTGTGGTTTTTATACATTTTTTTGATTATTGAAGCACATCTGTGGTGTGTATCTTGTTGTGTTGTTGGTTGTGTTGGGGGTGAATACTAAGTTAGTTTTTGGTTAGAATTCTTCAATATTGAAACATAGGGTGACCGGGCCTGTTTTTGATTCAGGATGTGCCTGTACATATCCATTTAATTATTAAGTCATCTGTTGTCAAAAAAAGTGTGGTCTGCTTCTTAATCGGCTTACAGAACTGTACTGATCTCAAGTGTTGTTGGGTTGTGGGTGTGGTTGTTGGGTGGGATTTATTTTTTTTTTTTATTGTTTTTGGGTGTTTTTTTTTTATTATTGTTTTTGTTTTTTTTTTGTTTTTTATTTTTTTTCTTTTCTCTTGTTTTTTCTTTTATGTTGTTTTTTTTTTTTTTTTTTTTTTATTTGTTTTTTGTTTTTTTTTTTTTGTTTTTTTTTTTTTTTTTTTTTTTTTTTTTTTTATTTTTTTTTTATTTTTGTTTTTTTTTTTTTTTTGTTTTTTTTTTTTTTTTTTTTTTTTTTGGGTTTTTTTTTTTTTTTTATTTGTTTTTTTTTGTGAGTTTGTGTTGTGTTTTTGTTTTGCGCCCATTGATTGAATCTTTAGAATCTAAATTCCTAAATTCCGGACTGATGTCATCCCCAGGACATTCTTCAGTACAACCACAATCTTGGTGCTTCCTAAGACCGTTAAATAGTTGAATTCAAAAGTAATTAGCAAAACACGCTTTCCTCAAGGTCAGTACAGCTCCCTTACTTTGTCTGGTGTGAGCAGTACTTTGATGGTTTGGCTAATGTTAGTTCTTTAGGATAAAGATTGGTCTGTGTATATTTAACTTGAGTTAGCTCCATGACTCTACTGGGTCTTTAGTTTAATTGGTTGATTCTACTGGCCTGATTAGCATTTCATAGTCAGTAAGTTACATAATGAATTCACTTTAAAAGAATAAAATGGGGGAGAGGGTTGCGGTAAATTCATGAAGTGGTAATCATTATCAGAACAAGGCTAAAGTAATGGACTATGAACAACCTATTCTTATTTTTGTATCGGTAGTTAATTTTAAGATGTGATTAAGATTTGGTCCAGCTGGATATTGTTGGGATATAATGATTTAATTATGGTGGACTCATTCTCAGGTAACGGAAAAAACAACAATTTATTGTTATATTTCATTTAATTAATAGCATTTATATGGAGATAACCATATTTATTGAATATCATGTTATGCCCGTCTCTGATATATGTTACACACTGTGAGACCTTTGTGGTTTTAACATTGTCTTCTACTATCTGACTGGGTAGATTGGTTATTAATTATCTAAAAACAAAAGAGTTGGGAATGGGTGTTGTACATTGTCCTAGATTTTGGTGGAGCTGGTTAAAAGAATGGACAGATGTGGTAGTTCGAACCTACATGTTAATAAAAGAGACTATTTTTATTTCAGCTGGCACCAGTAAGTCAGCACAAGAACCTTCTTTTTCTCAGAAGCTCCAGTTGTGTTTGACAGATACTTAATTTAGACATTCAGGTAAGACTACTCTTGTAATATCACACATTTTGTGCTTGCGGCCAGACCGTATCATCGTGTTTACAGGGCAGTGAACTGACGACTCAATTCGAGCCTTGGTGAGGGAAGATGCAGTTAAGTGTGCATCATACAGAAATCTACCATCTACAGAGTAAAGAAACAGAAACATTTGGACAATAACGACAACACATATAGTGGATTTTTTATATGTGCATGTATCTAGTGTGCCAGACGCATAAATAATCTGAAAGTGAACTCGCTAGATTTTTCACATACGTCCGGTGGCGTTACTTGTATTATGATTATTTATATGGGAAGAATGCGAGCAGTGTGATTGTCAACTCTAATGGACTAGTAAGTACAGCCTACTGATGTTTAGTGTTGGAACTAGTGTCGGAGATCGGCGTTAGTTGCGAGCCAGGGGGTTAGGACCTAGAAGTTTCATGCAGAAGAGCAGAAAATAGTTGCCATTGTGAGTTTATCCTGATGTTGCAACAATCAATGAGGTTTCTTTAATACTGATTAGTGGATGCCTAATTGCAACGGACAATGTAGTAGTAAAATGGTGAGATTCGAGCAAGTTAGGGTGAGCGAGCAGGGAGGCTTTTGTTAATGAATGAAATGGTCTGTGTAATATTTGTTTAATATCTGCGGAGCTCAAAAGATTAGAGATGGTAAAAGTGTTGGGTTTTTGAGTAATTGATTCCAGAACCATTTTTGTTTGCCCCGCGTTTCAAGTGGCCTGAAAAAATGATTGAAGGCTGTGATTGGTTGACCTTGCTAGGAGGAAGTATTTTACATCCAGAGTATTTCTCTAAAATCAAATGTCGAGGAATTGGATTGATGATGATGGAGACTGCCATGAGTACTGATTACATTGTTGGGTAAAAATAGGTAGAGTATGCTCATTACAGCGAGTAATACATGTATGCTTCCGGAGATGGGTTTCACACATTTTTGCTCATACTTGAGAAGGTAAAGGGTCCTGCGGTCGTGTTATTGTTCTAAATAACTCCCTAAGTAGAAGTGACCGCCAAACCGAACAATGTAGAGTCTACTAAAAGATTATTATTGGTGGTACGTCAAAGTTCTGATTGTCTTACCCTTCCTGTGCCTTTGTAGAGTGGTCGATAGTTTTTCAAAAAACTGTTAAAACGCTGGGGCGGATATGAAGCCACACACTGTTGGCTACAGGGTGAATTGTTCATTCATTACCATCGCGAACACACACATTGGAGTTCTTATTTTCCACAGATGTTATTAATGGAGAGGTGGAGCTCTGTTCTAGGTCTGAAATGGAAGCTATAAAGAGGTTATTTCCGCTTGTGATGAATGTAAATTATGATTTTTTTTGCATCCTGGGTCCATGGTGCAGTGAACTGAAGACATACTGCCGTGCTAGTGTTTACTTTCCTAGTTTACCGCCTCCATATTGAATGGGGATATAATGTTTTAATCGTGCATCTCTTTTAAGACGTTCCAAAATGTTATGTTGGATCCTTGGTGACAGTTGACCGAAACAGTTGGTTCTGAAATGTGACAGTACTTCTCAGGTATATGAGTATCCTTTTATTTGTGTATATCATCTGCTATCCTTCTATTGGGTCGTTACTCACCACTTTGGTAGGTCATCCATTTTAGGGGGACCTCGGAGTTTTGGAATTTTCAGAGGTATATCATACAATTGGGTAGAAAGTTTGTTTAAAATAATTGTTGCGGTATTAAATAGTAAGTTTTTACTTTTTACTGCTTCGATGCCCCAAACCCCTAGTTTGCATATGTCTAGGTTTTGGGGAACTGCTGTATGTTTCAATTCATTGTATATGATTGTTTGCCATTTGCTTGATATTTACTACGGATTTTGGGCCCACCAATGTAAATTTGGTATTCAAACCTTGGCTCCCTCTTCGCAGCTTGTCAATTTTATCCACTTTACACTCCTGGACTGCTCCATAAATCTCACCTAAACACTTAACATAATGGGTTATTATCATCCCTGAAAATTAGTCCACACATATGCAACATATTTTCCTCAGTCTGAGTAACTATTCAGTAATAGAGTTCTAGCAGTGACCTAGCTGTTTTAGGGAACTACTGAGTCACGTTTTTTTAATCTGTGAGCTGTGTTGTAAGGAATTTATTGTGTTTTCTTCTTGACGAACCAGTGGTCTTGGGCTGAGAGCCGCAGAAGGTAGATTTAGTTTGTGTATATAGCATTTTAAGAGTGGATAAGCAACCAGTTACGTTGGTTTTTGTGATCTGTTTCATGGGACCTTTGTTTAATGAGGCGAAAAATGCCTGCACATGATTTTTTTTTCTTGGAAAACCTGCCAGTGTAAAAGTCTTTAAAATATCAGCTTTCGCTTTGATTAAGCGAAGCGAACGGAGCCTGCTTGCTGCCTGTCTATTTGTTCAGTATGAGTAGGTGATCCCACCAGTATTTTTAGTTTCTAGTACAGTAGTCCATAAAAATAGTAATCCTTAAAGACTACAAATTGGACGTTTGTTTTTGCACTAGGAACGGAAATTGAACATTGAAGTCAAGTTTTTAGCCTCATTTTACTACTCCATAAATCATGGTAGTGTTGAAATTATTTTGAACACCTATCGCTGTCCTGTTAGGGAAAGATGTCATATTGTTGATTTACTTTTTTTTTCCTAGAACAGCCAGTGTTTTCCAATCCCTTTCCTGTACGTAAATCAGCTGGCGATTGTTGTGGTACAATGTTGTTCAGTAATCCATCCAGCGAACATAGTGTCGACGTTTACGGTTGTCATGAATATATGTTTTTTGTTGTGTGATGCTAATGCTAACTCCATCGACACTCTGCACCTACAACTGCGGTCACCGTGGATTGCATACACGTAAACTATTACACAGAAACAAAAAAAAAAGCAACTTGATGTCACTGTTGGTGGATTGGGGACCACACAAGATCAAACAAGAGTGCTGGTAGATTTCATTTCCACTACTATTTGTGTGGAAACATTAATAGAATAACTGTAGTAGTAAATGATAGCTACCAAGAATTAAAGGATTTGTAGTTTTATGGAATTGTATAAAAACACGTGCGTAAGTGTGTTCTACTGATATCTTATTTCACTGTAAGCACCACATAATTGTAAATCCAATACGGGTGTTACATGTTTCAGTAGTGATATATAATATATTGTGAATTCTAGTACCTTGGGTAACGTGCGTGAGCGCAGTTATGTTTAAGTTGTTGGGATTACATCAATTGGCACTATAAAGATGATAAAAGTAAAACAAGGTGAAAGGAACTCAAATGTGTGTGCGTGTGTTGCTGTGTTATGGCGCCTGCTTCTTGCGTGTTAACGTGCGTATTTTAATCTGCATGTGCGCCACAGGAGTGCCTTCTGTCTGTGTTGGTGTACTTGGATTTAACTTCTATGCAGTGATAGTCTCATCATGTGTGTATGTGCCCGCATTGTTTCCCGCTCCAAAATCAAATGTACCTCTACTCTGCATCAGCATGCCTGCATGTGTGTTTGTGTTTGTGGTGTGTGTGTGTGTCCTCTTTCCATGCAGGTCCTCTTTGATGCGTGTTCCCCACATACGTGTTCTCTATACACAGCAACTATGTAGTGTTGCGAGCAGGAGCGGGATGTGTTGTCCTAACAGTCGTCCCGTCTGCAGCAGGGCAAGCCTGCCCGTCACCGCCATCGTCAGCCGTCCTCCCACGCCCTCGCAGTAAGTTAGTGGTCAGACGGATGCCCCACCGTACTGGAGCCGTGCCCAACACCAAACTTCCCTCTGGCCTTGGGGAAGGAGGGGGAGACAGTTGGGCTTGTTACTTGTGTGTGTGTGTGTGTTGGGGTCACTAGTCCAATTATCTCTCATGTCATAACTCTGCTGTGTGTGCAGGCAGTGTGCAGTCAACTTTTTACTTTGGCGGTGTTGTTAAAGCATAAAGAAAAAGTATAAAATTGCAGCAAGGCGTCAAAAGTCTGAAGGAAATAGAAGGCTGATGGGAAATGAGGATCACAACACAGAGGGAAACATTAAAACAGATAATCGGCCTGATTAACACCACTGATCCAAACCTGACAAAGCTGAAGTATTTTGATACAAATAGCCATTATAAGAGGCCGGCTTTTATTCACAATTAACACACTAACAACCCCCCTAAAAAACAAGACAGGGCCGACACAGCAACATATGCATTCAAGCTAGCCTTTAAAGATGTACAGGTAAATAGGTTTACTGGGAAAGCAGGAAGTAGCTGCCACTGCAGTGCAAATCTGAAGCGTCTACCATGGCTGCATGTCCCTGAGAACCAACATCCAACTGTGATTGAAGAGGTTTTGCACAACGTCGAGGACTATCTGCACCAGGAGCCAGACAAACCTCAACCGGCCGCCCTGCAGTGTGTGTTCTCAGTCTACGCTGCCACGGAGCCTCTCGCGCAGTGCCTAGCAACAGCAGCGGTCAGTGAAAACCCTCCCGCCTCGCCTCGCCACGGGAAATATACAAAGCAACGTTTGAAAGAGGTGCAGATGGACGGTGTTAAGACTGACGCGAGGGGCCGTAAGAAAGTAACATTAATAATAACACTGACCACGCTGATTTCTGATTTTATCGGCTGCATAAATAACCAAACCTTGAAAAATCCATTATTTAGTTTTGCTCTGAGCTGTTTGGTTTGAATGTGCTGCCACTAGTACATAATTACTGTCTTTATTTCTTTCCCACCTGGATTAAAATGTACATTTAATGAAGACGATGCACTTTTAAGGCAGTGTTTGACTTCACAAGATCTCCCTCACTACTCTGCAGAAGTAAGACCAGGCTCAATGAACGAGCAGATCTATGTGTTTTTGGAGGGAAAAAGAAGCTTGTTCCCTGGGGAACCTAATGTTGCGCAGTTAAAGGAAATCTAGAGTTTATTACAACTTGGGTTTGATTTCTGAAGCTCTGGTCAGCAACATTGCCACATTCAGTCATCTCCGCAGGGTTAGCATAGCTGATAGAATGAATGGCCAGGGCTATAAAAGTAAAATGTGAGCTGTAACAAACAATAGTCTTCCTTTAAGTGTGCTGATACACACTGAAAAAGACTTTAATCTCTTCTGCTCAGAAGCGGAATCGGTCCATGAAATCGACCTCTTATAGGAAAGGAGAAAAAAAAAAAAGAGAGAGAGAGCAATGCATCCCAGAATGCACCCTACTCTTCCAGCCAGTATGCTGGATTCCTTTCCACACCAGTAACACATTCCGCACTGGGAAATGTAAAACCACAATAGCCATGTTTGGTAGATTTGAAATGACGAAGTATAGAGACAGAGGAATTCTGTCACGTTTCATATATTTGAGTTGTGTTCTGAGGCAGACAGACCGTGAAAGTGGAAATAATCTAGCTTCCTCAAGTGCCTGACAGAAGAAAAAAAAAAACTTTAGTCTGCTCTGTGCCCTCGTCCCAACCGGCGCTGCTTTGAACGCTGAAACGTTGAGTGAAAACCAACGTTCACATTGACGAGGTTTTGATCAAAGATGCTGAGTCAGGCTTAAAACTGCAGCTTAAAAACACCAAACACACCTCTCTCTCTCTCTCTCTCTCTCTTCTCTCTCCTCACACACACACACACACCAGCCCATCACTCGGAGACTTTAGCTGCCTCGAAGTTGACGGCCAGTTTTCTGTGCTTCCTTTTGGAGGCGGAGCCAGGGGTGTGGCCTGTCGCTGGAGGATTTTGCCGAGGGGGTGTGTGTGGGGCTCCTGTCGTCGTGGAAACGGTGTCTGCCAGGCCGGGACTGGACGAGGAGAAGTCGCTGTTGGTAGCGTGTTGGTGTGGCTGGTCGGCTCTACCACCCTGTGATTGGCCGGAGGGCTGGTTCTGGGCTCTCTGTGATTGGTGTCTATGGGCGGCGCTGTAGAACTCTCGAGTTTCCTGGTTCTTCTTGTTGGCGGATACTCGCTTCTTAGTCACCTGTCGGGGTCAGATGACAAGTGGAACGTTGGGTTACCATGAGCGCGGCATTACTTTATCAGCATAAAAGAACAACGGAAGGAAGGGAAAAAAGAAGTAGTACAGCAAAATGTTCCAACTAATATCAATTCCAACTGCCTCTGTTCATACGTGTAAGTTTACCTGTAAGGGAATAAACTGGTTGTGTGAGCCGATGGGCGGCGCCGCTGCAGGCTGGTGGCGGGCGGCACCAGGGAAGGTTCCTGCTGCTCCGTAGAACGGTTGGTTTTGGTGGTGGTGAGGAGGCAGCGCCATTCCCCACAGAGGGCCAGGGGCGTAACCCTGGGGGGGCAACAGCAAACCTCCTGGAGGGACAGAGCATTCTCTTGAGATACCAGCACATAAAAAGCTTTGAATTCCTTTATTTATGTTTCACAGGACCCCGGAGGCAAAAATAAACCTCATTTTAAAGATTTTCTAAAGATGAAAGCGACATATAGTCACATCTCAAGTTGGCCAAAAAGGTTAGCTAGCGTTTTGCTATCATTAGCTATCAGATGTAACTAGCTAGCTAACGAATGATATACATTGCTCAGCCGAGCTGCTGAGCCTAGCACATAGCATATCTACGTACAGGAAAGGAGAAATTTAAAAAGAGGTTCTGCCCAAGTCTTGCTCAACTGTTATTGGAGCACAGAGCAAAAAGGGGCGGGACTTAGGACGTACAGAAAAACAGACAAAAAGAAGACTTTGATTTTGTAAAGAGACCATTTCTAAAATCCTGCAAAAATGTGATAAATAGTTGTTGGGGAGTGAATGAGGAATCATGTTGGCTGTCGTGTTGCAGGTACGGCCACAGAGAGGGTTGCACACTTGAAGGACAGCTGAGCCCCACCATCTACTCACAACCTCAGCAACAGACCGTTACACTAAACTGTAAGGAGCGAGGACTGACCTTGTTGGTTGAAGACGGAGGCCATGGGTCCTATGGGTGGGGGCCGTATCTGACCCACTCCTGAGTACAGAGCAGGTGGGAGGGGGAAGCCTGATCCCACTGAGTTCTACAGGCAAGCAAGACAGCACAGACAGAAGCTTTAGTGTACATCTGAATAATGACACAGACTGTGATCTGGGCCCTTCATGCCCTCTGGAACAGACATGTTTTACCAGTTGTAAAATCCTGTGTCCTGTGAGTATTGTAGAACACTGTACAGAATTTTTGGCATCTGATAACCTTCAAACTCATGGATCTGTTACTCAGAATAGACTTCCTGAACTTTAAAATTCTTGATTTGTTCTGTGCATTTGATCTTCTTCCTGCATTCTGCCTCTCTTTCTAAAAACATGTTCATTTAAATTAAAATGATCTTGCATCTGAGGAACAAAGATTTGGGATTTTGTTTAGATCACAATAAGACAGCTTCCACACCCCATTGCAAGCACACATTCTCTCCCACAGACTTACGTAAACACTCATTGGGGTGTGTGTGTGTGCGTGCGTGTTGTACCAGTCTCTGAAGGGCAAAGAAGGCAGCTTTCTCCTTGGCATCATTTTCTGATTGGCACTGTGGGCCATGAACCATCAGCCCATTGGACAGCTTCACCTGGCACACTACTAGACCCTGTGGAGATGGAGGACAACATTAGTGCAACCCCACACACAAACACACACACACACAAACACAAACACAAACACACTAATGTGCAATACAGCTTGATGAATAATTGTATAGTAAAGTTATCCCGAGGTATTTGTGTAATACGCAGTAGAACATGAGACCAAAACAATGCAAGAATACATTTTCGATGTGTGTTGCAAAAGACAAACATGGACTGCGTGGTGTTACCTGTCTGTTGCCTATGAAGCTGAACTCAGGTGGTGCCATTCCTAACCCCACGCACACACACGCCAGCTCCGACACCTTACTGGTCAGCACAGCGTTGGAGAGGTTGGCAGAGGCGGCCGGCGTGGGAGAACCTAATACAGCTGCGTCACCGTGTGGGGCGTTCATATTTGCTGCTGAGGGGGGGGAATGGGATGGAAAGGGGAAAAAAAATATGGCTGAAGTTGTATACAGACAAGCATGTTCTTTGGTGTGCTATCCTGTGTGCTATCCTGCGGTGCAGTAATCGGTTACCTAGTTTCTTGGACGAACGTCTTCTGTTCTGCTGTTGACCACCAGAGGCAGCACTGTTAGCCGTCTCCTGGGGAGAGGGACTTCCTGTTCCAGCGCCATCAATCTTTAGCATCTCCTTCAGCACCATGGTTCCTTTCTGCAACAGACAACACACACACAGTATAATTTGTGTCAGGGTCAGCAAAATCACAATTAGAATGTGCATTAAAAGAAGACCACTGTCTTTGCCTCTGATGACTCACCATGGCGAAAGACTGTGGAGACAACGGGCCATCTGACTGGCTTGCAGGTGCTTGTGGAGGAACGGGAGGGGGTGGGGTCTGCTGGCTACCCTTGGAGATCTTCAGACTGGCTATCAGGTCCTCAAACTCAGTCGTAGCCTAAATGAAAGAAATATGTGAAGAGACGGGAGAGTGGAAGTGAGGAGACGTGAGTTCACACATACACTGTGGACAAATTTAAGATTTTGACCATTGCAGTTTAAAACAAGTGACTGGCTGCAAACCTTATACCCTTACAGCTCAAACATGCACATACAGCGGTTGAACAGAAGAAAAACAGGCTATGGAGAATAAAGAGAAAAGAAGAATAAAAGTGTATGTCACGTGTATGTTCGTGTGTGTACCTTGTTGGGTGTGTTCTGTGCGGGAAAAAGGGAGTTGGCGTCTTCATTTTTCTTCAACAGTCTGATGCCGCCAACTGGGGTCTGCAAGCAACATACACAAACCAACAGCCACATTTAACAAAAAGCAACAGTCTGCATCCAAAATGACACCAACACAGGACACTAATTATGTCAGGCTGCTTCAGTGTGAGCTTCATCTAGCTTCAATGCTAACATCAAGCATTCCTTTATTTCTTATTTGCAGCACAACTGACACATGTATCTTAATATATCATCAGCTTTTTTTTGGTCTGTGCATTTGTGTACTCACAGCTTTGTTAGCGTGCTGGTTCCCACCCTGCTGGGAATGTCCTTCCTATAGTTGGAAACAGTTTTTTTAATAATTTATTTTTGCTTTAACACAGTAACATGTCACAGGGCTGCCACGAGGACAAGGAGGGTGGTTTGGTAAGTTCCATACATTTAAAATCCCTCAAAAACATTCTACCACAAATGGTAGCAGCATTACAGAAGATTGTTGTTTACCAAACACACATACACTGATACAGACTTACATTGTGCCAGTGCGCAGGAGGTTTGTGAGGAGGGCCAGAGTTTTGCAGAGTCTGCCACACATTACTGTACTCCTCTTTACCCTGGATGAAGCAGCAGAGACAGAACATTGGAAATGTACCATGTATATTTGTATGTTTACAAGCTTAAAAGGGCATAAACAAGTGAGAAGGGTGTTAACGCAGGTGATCCTGCACTTACCTTCCCCTGCTGTTTCTGGAGGAGACCCTTAGAGGGAGAGTTCCTGTTGCCCTTGCTGTTATGCTATAGACAGGGAAAGAGGTTTGTGTGAAAGGGCATAAGAAAGTGGCACGGAGATCCATCTGAGAGACATTTCCAATGTTTTTACATTTTAAAAAACTGTGTGGCTGCCCTCTTACCTGTGTGGGTATAAAGGGTGAACGTGGAGAGTGGTTCAGGCCGCCGAGCTGGCGCTGTGAGCTGAAGTTTGTGGCTGCAGCGGGCTGAGGTTTGACGATGGCGGTGAGCTTGTGGGAGGTGTGATCCACTCGGGCTCCATGGGAAAGGTTGATGAGAGCACAGGGAGGGAGGCGGTAACCGCGAGGGGACGTACACCTGAGGACACGGGGCCGATGATACAGCGGTCACATGTCTGCTCAGAAATCATTCTGGCGTTGTGTGAAATGTGTGGAATTAACCCTTCCTAAGTCCTGCCCCTTTTTGCTTTGTGCACCAATAACAGCTGAGCAAGCCTCAGTCAACTTTCTCCTTGTGCTAGGCAAATCCATGTTGAAAATACAAGCCCATTTTGAAGACGGTTAAAAGATAAAAGTGACACATGTATAGTCACATCACCAGATGAGCCTACCATATAGCCTGTGTCAAGTGGCAACATCAGTGGCTAGCAAATTAAGCCACTACGGAAGAAACAAAAACTAGAGGCCGGCTACTGAAGTGAGTGAATCTCCATACGCACCTACATTAAAATGCCCAAATAAACGTGTACAGGCCTCTACAAAAACAGTTTTGGTCTCTATAGCTGATTTCCCCATATCATTTCATGACAGTTATGATGAATGGGGAAATTGGCCACTTTTATTCACCCGGTGGCTGTTTGCAGTAACCAGGCTTTATTTGGCTGGCCTCAGCTCCTCCCACGCTCTAGGTATTTGCCCATTTCTGGATTAGCCGGGAGCCGGCGGAGTCAGGACTGCCAAGATGGCAATGGCCAGCGTCAACTACACTCAGAAACCTATGGGTGACGCCACGGAGACGACATCAAATTTTTAATTATACTGTCTATGGTTTAAGTACAGAAAAGGAGAACGTTGATCGAGGTTCTGACTGACTGTTACTAGAGCACAGAGCCAAAAGGACTTAGGAAGGATCAATTCTGAGCAGTTGTTTATCATTTACACTTGGTCTTGATTACCTGATGTTGAGACCTCCAGCAAATTCTTCATCAAAAAGCACTTCATAGAGAACCTCTGCCTCACGCTCCGCTGAGGGACAGACACAATATAAACTGTGAGAACCTGCACATTACCCTTATGAAGTTGTAAAGGAATCAGGATGAAAGAAATGAAACCGTGTATCCTCCTCACCTCCTTTAATGCCGATGATTGTTCCTCTGAGTCCCAGTGGCACAGTGAAGCTCTCCCTCGTGTTGACAACTCTGTCAAACAGGCGATACTCTGCATCCGGGTCTGGAACCACACCCTGCTGCTGCTCCAAGGGCTAAGGGCAAACACGGGCATGCATACATTATCTTTTCAATTAATTAATTGTATGAAGCCTGGTTTAGAAGATCAAAAAGGAGTGTGAAACAATCAGATTTACTCGTCATGAAGTGTGCAAGAAACAGCCGAAGAAGTAGAAAATAGTCCAGCAAACAAAAGTACACGGCTTAATATAAGATAATGGCACACACAGGCAAAAATGTACTCACCCTGAAGAGGAGATGAGGCTTGACAGTCACACGGACTTTCTTGGTGCTCTTCTTTACCTAAGAGATGGAAGAGACAGAAATGGAGGATAAAGTGAGAGATGTGTCAATTGGGGGACAGAGAGTAGACACAAAGGGAGAAGTACGCTGTAGTTTGAGGCTGTGTGTGTCAGGGTCACCTTGGTTTTCTCCACTGCCTCCTCAATCCTCTCCACGATGGCGGTGTCCAGCACCTGAAGGTCACACGACGCCCTGCTGACGGAGCTCACGGGGTGACTTTTTAACCACGAGGTGATTTCAGCAACCCTCTCCGCTCTGTGGGGTGTATCAATATCAGGCATCATCAATAAATACACCACCGGTTCAATTCATTCAGAACATTGAGTGGCAGTATCACACGGGATTATTCTTAACAAATATCTATATGTGTGTTTTTTTTTACCCATTCTGGTCCAATCCAGGCCAGATGTCATCTTCATAGAAAACATCATCATGACTGTTTCTGGACACTGTGTTGAATACTTCAGAAAATCTATAAAAGCATAAAACATAATTTTAAATGAAAAGCCTGTTGGTATGAATGCAGAGGGGACAGTTCTAATGTTCTCAGTTTTTACCTGTCCAGGTATTCAGCCAGTAGCTCCTCCACAGCAGCAGAGTAGAGCCACTCCTTTTCAGTTTTCTTGGTGTATCCAGGAACCTCCTCATTCTTCTTGTTGAACTTCAGGTTCAGGCCCACGTTAGCTCTCTGCTCTCCACAGGGACTGCAAACAATGTATGCAAAGAAAACATTGGTGCAAAATGTACAAGAGTCATGCCAAACAAAGGCCACTGGAGTGCAAATTCTTAACGTCTTACGCATTTGAAAAACGAGCACGCAAACGTGGAAACAGTGACTGAACACTCACTTCTTCTTAGAGCCTCTGCCAATGAAGATGCTTCCTGAGAAGCGGGACACGAGGTAGCTGGTGATGCCGAGACGAGATGCCAGAACGTATCCAGGACTGTACTTCACACAGTACTTCTACAAAATACAAACACATTTGGGCAGACATTACATACCTGAGCCACAGATGGTGTAAACATGGAAAGTACCCTCAGAACAAACACAATAACTGAAGTGAACTCTTTCAAACGTGGTGTGTGTATCTTACATGCTGATTTTGAATCAAGGTCTCCAGCTGTGGTTCGTGCGGCACGTTGAAGACCACTCGTACCCGGCCCTCTTTGATGACATCACTAGAATCTTGCACCTTTTAAAACAACAAACAGAAGAGATGGTGATTCATCAGGAGACATTTCAATTAGCCAAAGGAGACACAATCAAAGAAGACTTGCTAGATAAAAAGCACTGTGATGGGGGATGCTCTTAAAATGTCACGTTGCAATCACGTCATCATAGGAGAGAGGCTACTTCTAAGTTCCTTGTTTATAGATGCCACTTATTTAATTAATTAATTAATTAATTAATATTTAATAATTATTTAATTATTTA